AGAAACCTTCGCTCCAGTCTCCCGTCACACCTCTCTGCGCATCCTACTCGCCATCGCGGCCACGAAGAAACTACCACTACGGCAAATCGACGTTGCAAACGCCTTCTTGTACGCACCTGTGGACGCCGAAATCTTCGTCGAACAACCCCACGGATTCATCGACGACCCTTCAAAAGTATGCCAGCTGGAAAAATCCCTTTACGGGATCAAGCAAGCCCCACGGCTCTGGCAGCAGCACCTTCACGGCCGGCTCGTAAAAATCGGATTCCTACAGCTACCACATGACCAAGGCATGTACCGACTACAGAAGGGAAGAGATTACATTCTGCTCATCGTCTACGTCGACGACCTGCTCTACATCGGTTCTACCACCGACATCGTCACCTGGTTCGAAGGGGAGCTGAAAAGGGACCTGACGCTCACGGTGTCCGACGAGGTGACGCAGTACCTAGGACTGAACGTCGTCGAAGACGACACGGCGTTCTACCTACACGCTGGAAAGTACTCAAGCACCGTCGCGAAGAAATTCGGTCTAACACCGACTGCGGTCCCAACTCCCTACCGCTACGGGAACAACAGTAGCGCCTCCACAAAACTCCCCGCGAAACAAATCCAGGAGTATCAACAGAAGCTCGGCTGTCTACTATTCGCAACAGTAACCTGCCGACCCGACCTATCCTATAGTGCGAGCCAGCTGGCGACACATCTGAAGCAGCCGCAACAGGAAGATCTCGAAGAACTCAATCGAGCGCTACTCTACTTCGTCTCCACGCCGACGATCGGGCTCACCTACAGCAAGGCAACAACACCGTCCGTACGACTACTCGGATACGTCGACGCCGACCACGCGGGAGACAGCGAAAATCGACGGTCTAGGACGGGCTACATCTACCGACTAGAACCTATCGGAACTATCTCCTGGCAGTCGAGCAAGCAGGAGTTAATCGCACTATCCTCGGCTGAAGCAGAGTATATCGCCCTTTGTACTGCGACCAAGGAAGGACTCTACCTACGAGAGTTACTCGAAGAAGCGAAGATCGCGACCCTGCCCACCTTCTCACTCCTCTGCGACAACCAATCTGCGATAAAAATCGCGAACAAGGACGGCTTCGCCAACCGAACCAAGCACATCGCCCTGCGGTACTTCTTCGTCAAGGATGAAATCGCGAAGGGGAGACTTCAACTCAGTTACTGCCCGACGACAGAAATGGCCGCAGATTATCTGACGAAGAAATTGGCGAAAGCAAAATTCGACTACTGCATGCTCCTAACCGGGCAAACAAACGTCACCGGATCTGAACACTCCAGCACTCCAGAAACGAAGGGGAGTGTTGGAAATATCTCAAGGACTTAAGCGTTTCTGAAGTGTAACACTGTACTCGAGGAAGATTACAGGGGAGCACGCGAGTCAACGGAGGTTACACGAGGGGGCGGACAAAGAATGCGAAAGGACTCGAAAGGTCGCAACTGGAGGTTGCGACTGACCGTTACAACATCACGGATGGTAACCGAAGCGGCAATCGAGTCGCTGTGCGACTCGATAAACCGTTCCTGTAACTGTATTCTACAACTGCTTCCTTATCTTCTATATATTGCTGTATGCTTGTTTCTTTAATCAATCACTTGTTCTCACATACTAGTACAAGGGTTCAACTGCCTCAACTTCCGCTGCACTACTCCAAGTCTCAAGTCTTTACAGCTGGGACTTAATCTCTGCAAAAGATCCTAAAGGGTTTTTCTCAGCCCAACAAGAAGCATACCCCAATCTAGCCTATAGCTTGTACACAGCTAACATGTATAAGTTGACAGCTTGCGCCTAAAGATCATCAGCGGCACTGTGTACAGCTTGGTCTTGTTCCTGTAGCTACCCACTTGTTAGGACCCTGATTGTGTACTCTCTACTATATATACTTGTCTGACTGGCCTTGTGGCCTTACCTCCAGTGGTTGGACTAGTAGTGCCGCCCTGGCTTGCTTTTGTCTTGTCTGTACTCTTGCTGAGTGGTCTTTGGACCCTTGCCTCAGTGGTTGGACTAGTATTGCCACCCTGAGCTGTGTGCTTCTTGCTTGCACCACCCCTTCTCTAGCCTAGGGGGTGTGTCAACTTATACATATCATGCATGTAGAAGTTATAGGCTAGTATCGGTGTGTGCTCTTAGTGAGTACAACCCAGCTGCTATATGTTCCCTATTTCCCCTCTAGTAAATTATTCACGTATTCTAACAACACCCTCTCGCATCTGAGTACAGTGCAGTGCAAGGGTGGGAGTTTCAGTGGAGGCGACTCGTCCCACTGCAGCCATGCACTGCCTGCCACCTGATCACCACCCGGCCAGGGCTGCGATGCAAAGTCAGCTACAGAACTTACCCATTGTTGATTCTGTGTGGGCGTGGGCTGGGTTGTGCTTCCTACTTCCACCAACTCAACTGCACTGCTGACCTTATCAAGTCTTTTCTTTGCAGCAATGTCACAAGGGGTGACATCATGGCATCATGGTACCACACGTGCCACGCCTTGCATTTCGCATCGCAGCATGCTGTGTTATCTGGGTTGGATCGTTGCCATTCATATGTGCAGCCCTGCCAATTCAGAGCCTGAAGCAACCTCCAGAACGGGGCTGGTGCGTGGGTCTATTCCGGTGCATGCAGACGAGATGGTCGAACAAGAGGACATGCATTAGCTGAGCAACAGCAGCCACTGATAGCCAATGTTAGACTCCTTACAGATAGTCTATGTTTTGCCATGTTCCACCCATAGGTTTGTTTTTATCAAACTGCTTGTACACTAATCTAGATTTGCATCCTACCTCTACAACATTGCTTTACAGAACCAAAACAATCCATTCTAGTCAGTCTCTGTTCTATTCTACTACCGTACCCTTACAGCAGCACAACCAGCTGGCGCATGCTGCCTCATTTGCTGCATGAAGCTTGCAGCTGGTGCAAAGAGGGGGGGGGGCAACCTGCAGCATGCAGCCAATCTGCACGTGCCAAATGGTCGCTAAGACGGAGGCATGGGGAAGCCTGGCGCTGGCGCTGGTGGCGGATAGCCGAACACGGGGCGCTGGCACCTCTGCAGTTCAGGCAGGGAGGGCGGAGATATGTAGGGTTGGGGAACAAGAGGTGTGGAAAGTTGGGTAAGTTTACATGCGTGTGTGTGAGTCGGTGTGCATATGGGTGCCCGCCTGTCTGAGTTTGTGTCCGTGCGTGCCTGTATGGAATGTGACAAGAAGCGACGAGAGCAGTATCCCATGGAAATGGGAAGTAAGCACAGAAGGTACGCTTAAGCAATGAACGGGACGACGATGCGAGTGCAGAGAGGAGCAGAGCTGAGGGGGTGAAAGAAGAGCAAATGAAGAGCCATACCTCGTGAGACGAGGGTATGAAGCAGACATGTGAGAGGGATCAGGTGTGATGTGTGACAAAAGAGAGATGCACAGGTGTGATGCGTGACTAGAAAAGGCAATTAAAGAGAGAGCCGTACCTCGTGGAACTGCGGAATGAAGCACGGCACGCAGGCGAACGGCCAGCATGTGACCAAGGCGATCACCACTGCCAGCCACCCCAGCGGACTCAGCGTCTGCGTCTCGAAGCAACCCGTCTGGAACGACAGAAGAATAACAGGAGTAAGGGAGGGGGGTGCCAGAGCAAGATGATATAGACAACCGGGAGGAATGGGGAGAGAGAGAGAAGAAGAAGAAGAAGAAGAAGAAAAAAAAAAAAAAAAAAAAAAAAAGAGGAAAAAAGCCAGAGCGCATACGGTGGCGAGGGGAGGGAGTGGATGGGGAGAGGAGAAAGGTGTTGGGAATGAACCGTCGTGATGCCAACGAGGCCACGCGTCCCTCAACCCACACAGACTCCTCACTGCGAACACTGTGGCTAACTTCTCGACATGTACTAGCGTACGGGAGGAGGGCAGGTCTCGTAACAGGTGTATGACAGGTCAGCAGGTCAACTAAACACTCACGGGAGGCCGGCAGGTCTCGTAGCCGAGAATGACTTGATCCGCTGAGGGGGGAACTCTTGGCGGAAGCATGTAGAGCCCGGGGATGGGGACGGGGGAGAATACGGGGAATTCGCCTCCGCTCGCGCCATGCGACACGACGATCACAGGGGTAGGGCAGCCCGGGGGAGGCGGAAACTGGGGAGGATAGGGCCCGTGGGCGTGGTGGGGGTAGCTCGAATGGTGCTGGCCTGGCTGATACGTCGATTGGCCGGCAGCCGGAGGGTTGCTGCTCGCTGCTGCATCTGCGTTGCTGCTGTGCGTGCGAGCGTCGGACGACGATTCTGTCCCCGGCTTGAGCGGCGTGGAGTCAGACGGGCCTGCGGAAACAAGCAGATAGAAACCGTTATCGTCACCGAGTTCATGATTCGCACGGCTAACGCGTCGCGCGGAGATCTTCTACCAGCAATGCGCCTACCTTCTGGGACGAAACCCATCTTGACGTGAAAAGCGGATACGGGGCTAAGGCTTCAAACAAGCGGCTACTGCGCGCCTCGAGACAAGTGAGAAAGCAAGAACCCTGTGAGCGGAAAAGTGTGTTAATATGGTAATCTGCTGATTGCCTAATGTAATTACGTCAGATTATTCGGGAGTTCAGCAATATCTATAGTTCCGTAGGAAGACTACTACGTACAGGCTAAATACAAACAGGAAGTCTCAGCAACGGCACCTAGACGAATTCCCTGGCAAGTTGGGGAGAGAAGCGCGGAAATGGCTGTGCGCGGGGTGGGCCAAACCAACACGGCAGCACGGCAATATCGAGGTGCTGGGTGTTCCGTGGCCTGCACGCAATCGTGCATTCATAATTCAAGGGCGTATGACTTGGGGTACGAACAAGCCTCCAGTACGAACTTCTAGAGCGGTAAAGGACAATTTTGGTAGGTTGCAGGCGATCAGAACCGCGGTACTGAGTGGTGACGATACGAACTTTCTACAAATTTGTAATAACTCACACACCCTAACAATCATGCTTTATTCCTTCTAACTTTGCTCTACGTATCAACAAGTGCGTTTGGCCAATGTTTGGCTGAATTGGCTGGTCGTATTTCTCAGAAAGAAAATAGCTGGCTGGGAGAGAATTCCTCTTTCCCCACCAGCGTTTTTCTAGCCTAACAAGTTCCTAGATTCTTCTAAGTCTCTCCCTTTGCCGTAATCCAGGACATAAGGAGAGTATTCTATTCTCCAGCAGTACCTAACCACCGCTTCTACACCAGCACCGACAGTCATCCCAACGGCAGAGAACCCTAAAGCAAGCAAAAAGGGTGGATAATCATAAGCGTCTAGAAACGTCCTGGACAGTGCATCAACATAGCTTTCCCCAGGAATCTGCTGCGTCTTAGCCCACACAACAAGCGAGAGCAGGCCGGAGCAACACCCAGCTACAGACGATGAGGGGGTGACACAGACATGGGAGAGGGGACCCTGTAGAATGCCGAGGAGCAGTGGGAGAAAGGATGTGGTATTGATGAGGTTTATAAGGAGGAAGAGCTGTAGGACGTTGAAGCCTTGTAGCGAGGCGAGCAGCGGCGGTACATTGAGGATGAGAACGAGGGCTCGAATGGACGAGATGCTGAGGCCAGACGGGTGGTGGGGAGGGGTGGAGTCAGGTTCTGGAATAGCAGAGTCTGGTGATGGTGGGATGGTGGTGACAGCAACAGGAGGTGAGGGCTCTGCTGATTCACTCCCTGCTTTCAGGCTCCCTGGTACCTCTGACTGCGAGAGAGCAGAGTCAGCACAGCGCACCCCCTTGGGCTGCACAGACGGTACAGCGCCACCCCCCCACCCTTGCCTCGCAAGCGACTCCTCCTCTCTCTGCACCTGAGCGCTGCGAGGACGCCCGCTATGTCGGAGGCGATGGTGTCCACCATGGCGTTCTGCAGGGAGTCCACCGCAGACTCGCTCATCGTGACTGAGAGCAGCGTGACTGTAACGAGCGCCCACTTTTGGTGGCGGAAGAGCGAGAAGAGGATGGTGTTGCCGCTGTCGTCCGGGCCGGATGGTTGATAGACGCCGCTCCATGCTGCTAGGAGGCCTGCGGGCGGGGGAGAACACGGAAGGTGGACGCCATGAGAGGGAGCGCGAGACGAGAATGGCGCTGCCACAGTCGCCACAGCCTGAGGAATGCTAGCTGCTGCTATAAGACTTGTGATGAGGATAGACCAGAGAAGGAGGAGAAAGCAGAAAGGCACTGCCAGTGTGCAAAGGCAGCGGCGGCAGCAGCGGCAGCTCCACCACCAGCACCAGCAGCAGCACCAGCAGCAGCACCAGCAGCAGCACCAGCAGCAGCACTGGCAGCAGCACTGGCAGCAGCACTGGCAGAAGCACTGGCAGCAGAAGCAGCAGCAGCAGCGGCAGCGGCAGCGTGAGCAACAGCACATGGCGCACTCCCTCCCAATGAACACACACTAGCTCACCTGCAAATCCCAGCAGCAACACACCAGCAGTGACGGCTGCTGACCCCACGCCTTCTCCTACCCCTCACCAGTGCGCACAGCAACACACCAACACAGCGGCACCATCAGCAGCACCCAGCTCACCTGCAAATCCGAGCAATGATACCACAGCAGTGATAGCTGCTGACCCCAATGCCGCACCCCACAGCAACGACGAGGGGCTTGCTGAGGCCCAGCAGCTGAGGGGAAGGGAAGTGAGAGTCGGGGAGAAGAGGAAGGAGGAGAAAAAGGAGGAGAGGAAGGAGGAGAGGAAGGAGGAGAGGAAGGAGGAGAGGAAGGAGGAGAGGAAGGAGGAGAGGAAGGAGGAGAGGAAATGGGAGTCGGAAAAAAGGAAGAAACAGAAAAACAGAGAGACAAAATAATCAGGTGACAGTAAACTTATAACGGTCAATTCTAGCAGCAACAAGAATTCCACCAGCAGCAACAACCGGACCACTGGACCAAGACAACACGACCACTGGACCAAGACAACCGGACCACTGGACCAAGACAACCGGACCACTGGACCAAGACAACCGGACCACTGGACCAAGACAACTGGACCACTGGACCAACAAGAATGTCCACCAGCAGCAACAAGAATGTCCACCAGTAGCAACAAGAATGTCCACCAGCAGCAACAAGAATGTCCACCAGCTGTTCTCCTTCTTTCTGAGTATCAGCAGCAACACGCATGAGCGCCCCCTCCTAGCACCCTCACATGCACATTGGCTTTTGAGTCGACTCAAAAGTCACCCCTCCTAGCACCCTCACATGCACATTGGCTTTTGAGTCGACTCAAAAGTCACCCCTCCTAGCACCCTCACATGCACATTGGCTTTTGAGTCGACTCAAAAGTCACCCCTCCTAGCACCCTCACATGCACATTGGCTTTTGAGTCGACTCAGAAGTCACCCCTCCTAGCACCCTTCCATGCACATTGGCTTTTGAGTCGACTCAAAAGTCACCCCTCCTAGCACCCTCACATGCACATTGGCTTTTGAGTCGACTCAGAAGTCACCCCTCCTAGCACGGTAGCACCCTTCCATGCACATTGGCTTTTGAGTCGACTCAAAAGTCACCCCTCCTAGCACCCTCACATGCACATTGGCTTTTGAGTCGACTCAAAAGTCACCCCTCCTAGCACCCTCACATGCACATTGGCTTTTGAGTCGACTCAAAAGTCACCCCTCCTAGCACCCTCACATGCACATTGGCTTTTGAGTCGACTCAGAAGTCACCCCTCCTAGCACCCTTCCATGCACATTGGCTTTTGAGTCGACTCAAAAGTCACCCCTCCTAGCACCCTCACATGCACATTGGCTTTTGAGTCGACTCAAAAGTCACCCCTCCTAGCACCCTCACATGCACATTGGCTTTTGAGTCGACTCAAAAGTCACCCCTCCGAGCACCCTCACATGCAAATTGGCTTTTGAGTCGACTCAAAAGTCACCCCTCCTAGCACCCTCACATGCACATTGGCTTTTGAGTCGACTCAAAAGTCACCCCTCCTAGCACCCTTCCATGCACATTGGCTTTTGAGTCGACTCAAAAGTCACCCCTCCTAGCACCCTCACATGCACATTGGCTTTTGAGTCGACTCAAAAGTCACCCCTCCTAGCACCCTCACATGCACATTGGCTTTTGAGTCGACTCAAAAGTCACCCCTCCTAGCACCCTCACATGCACATTGGCTTTTGAGTCGACTCAAAAGTCACCCCTCCTAGCACCCTCACATGCACATTGGCTTTTGAGTCGACTCAGAAGTCACCCCTCCTAGCACCCTTCCATGCACATTGGCTTTTGAGTCGACTCAAAAGTCACCCCTCCTAGCACCCTCACATGCACATTGGCTTTTGAGTCGACTCAAAAGTCACCCCTCCTAGCACCCTCACATGCACATTGGCTTTTGAGTCGACTCAAAAGTCACCCCTCCGAGCACCCTCACATGCACATTGGCTTTTGAGTCGACTCAAAAGTCACCCCTCCTAGCACCCTCACATGCACATTGGCTTTTGAGTCGACTCAAAAGTCACCCCTCCTAGCACCCTTCCATGCACATTGGCTTTTGAGTCGACTCAAAAGTCACCCCTCCTAGCACCCTCACATGCACATTGGCTTTTGAGTCGACTCAAAAGTCACCCCTCCTAGCACCCTAACATGCACATTGGCTTTTGAGTCGACTCAAAAGTCACCCCTCCTAGCACCCTTCCATGCACATTGGCTTTTGAGTCGACTCAAAAGTCAACCCTCCTAGCACCCTTCCATGCACATTGGCTTTTGAGTCAACTCAAAAGTCACCCCTCCTAGCACCCTTCCATGCACATTGGAACTCTCACACCACTGCCACGCGTTCAACAGCGTGTGCCACCGATACTTCACAGCGTTTAAACGAGAGGGAGACCTGGATTCAGTTATAAGTTTACAGTCAGCATACCAGGATTGGTTGTTATAAGCGCTTTTAGCTAGATTGGTAGTCAGCATGGACACCGGCATGAAGACCAGTGTTCAATCGTACACTGCTTTGCTCAATACCCCATCGCTACTGCACCTCCCCTCAAACAACGGCCATACCACCTCCCCTCATACAAGGGCCATACTCCTACCTCTCCTCTCACCGTTGCCACACGGCTTCATTGAAAAGGGTCGTGGCCAGCAGGGACCTCAGCATGTCCTCAGCATGACCTCAGCATGACCTCAGCATGACCTCAGTATGACCTCAGCATGACCTCAGCATGACCTCAGCAGGACAACAGGCGACCAAAAGCACATGTCCTCCATGCACTTCATCCCACGACTATCGCACCACCCCTCATACAACGGCCATACCACCTCCCATCCCACCGCCCAGCCTCACCGTTGCCACATGGCTTCATTGAATAGAGTGGTTGCCAAAAGAGAGACCGGCATGAAGACAAGCGATGCGAGGCCGAGGGGATTGGACCAGCCCAGGTTGGGCGACAGCGGAGGGAGGGGCGATGGAAAGGTGGCGAGCACGAGAGTTGTGAGGAGCGCCGTGAAGATAATACTGGCTAGGGCCTGGCGGGAGGCAGTGAATGGGGGAGGGTGGGGTGGGGGGGGGAGGGGGTAGGGGATGTTTTAGAGAGAAAATAGCTCGCCTGCCATTGGCCTGAGACATTGGCCTGCCTGCTGCAGTATAGAGCACTGTGGCAACGCGTATAACGAGTACAATCACCGTGGGCGAACCGCTGGAGAGCACAGCCGCTAACCACTGTGCTAAAAGGGCATGGCTCCTCAGCAGGTCAGCGCGCCCACAACCCCCTATACCCGACGCCTGTAGCCCTTCCCCCTAGACCAGCCCCCTGGTCGCGCGTATGGCCCTCCCATAAGGAGCACAATGGCTGCTTCCTGTCTCGTTCCCTCACACAAGACACACCTGCCACCGGCCTGCGACAGTACTGCACCTGCCACTGGTCGGTGACAATCGAGACATACAGCCCCCCTGCTGCGGTATAGAGCATGGCGGTGGCGCCTAGAAGGAGTACAATGGGCACTCTGGGCGCGCCCAGCACGTGCTGAAAGAGGTCGCCCACAGCGGTGTACTCGGCTGTCATGGCGATGGCCATGTTGAGCACCATGAGCAGCGAGATGTAGAGCGAAAACAGGCTGAAAGGGGGGAGGGGGGGGGGGGATGGGGAGATTGGGGTTCCCCCGAAGCAAGACACCGAAAACTCTCGGGTGCTTGCCTGTCATGGGTGAGGTGCGGCCATGTTGAGACTTATAAGGAGAGAAATAAAGAGAGACAAGGGGCTGAGGAGGGAGTGGAGGTGGAGTGATGTGCGCTGTGATATGATGCAGAGGGCTTTTGAGCCGACTCAAGAGTTACGTGCGCTGTGATATGATGCAGAGGGCTTTTGAGTCGACTCAAGAGTGATGTGCGCTGTGATATGATGCAGAGGGCTTTTGAGTCGACTCAAGAGTGATGTGCGCTGTGATATGATGCAGAGGGCTTTTGAGTCGACGCCACTAAACAGTGCACCGCGCTGCAATAGACACCCCTTTGAGTTCCAACGCCGTCCCTCACACGTCCAACCCTCTCCCCACTCACAGGCCGAATCGCCGGCGCACATAGTCTGCCATGGACACCACGTCGGGCACCAAACGGTGCACCACGCTGCCCAGCCACGCCACGAGCAGCACGGGCAGCCCGGAAAACAGCGAGTAGACGAGTGTGCCCGTAGCCCCCGCAGTGAGGCAGTAGCTGGGCGGGCCGAAGAGAGCCCAGGAACCCATGGCCGAGGCAAAGAAGGACCTGAGAGGGGTGGAGAGTGGTGAACAGGGGTGGAGAGTGGTGAGAGGTGATAAGTGGTTCGGAACCAGCAGGAGCGCCTGTGCCTTTGCCCTGCCAGGCAGCAGCTGGGTGGACTGAAGAGAACCCAGGAGCCCATGGCCGAGGCGAAGAAGGACCTGCGAGGGGTGGAGAGGAGTGGGCAGGGGTGGAGAGCGGTGAGAGGCGCAAACTGGTACGAAACAGGCAAAATCGGCGCTGACCCCTGGTGTGAGGCGGTAGCTGGGCGGCCCAAAGTGAGGCTAGGCGCCCATGGCTGAGGCGAAGAAGGGTGAGATGAAAGGGACGTGCGAAAGAGGGGAGAAGAGGGGCAGAGAGGTCACTGCGATGGCGTGTGGCTGGGAATGCAGAGGCGATTGGAGCCCAGGAGCCGACGACGGCTGGGGAGGCGAGGACGGCTTCGCCACCAAGCGGCAGACCTGAGCGGGATGAGCGGGTGGAAGGGACCACTACTAAGTCCGTGCTAGATAGTGCGACAAACCGTGCGATCACAGCGGCCTTGACGCACCCTTGCGACGCACCATGCGACCATGAAGGTCTTGACGGATCGGCGCGCAGTGAGGAAGAAATCGGGCGAGTCGGGACCTCCCTGCAGCATCTCGCGATACGCCGCGTACGCGCACGCGCTCAGGCCGAACGCCAAGACCACCGCCACGGCGAGCGTGTACGCGATATAAGACAACGCCTCCATGATGGCTTCTAACGGATCTTTTCGTAGTGAACGTGGTCTTACTAGGGGAAACACAGGAGAAAGCAGTCAGCTTGGGCTTGCGCTAACATCACTCCCCTAGAGCATGCAGTGCATGGTCACTCTCATCGAGAACCTCTTATCGAGAACGTGTTAGCCTAAGACGATAACCATGGTCACTGCCGCTAAAAGTACACTCTTGCGTAGAACGAAGCTCGCATCTGGACATGGCACCTTTTACTGTTTTCCTGCGCTGGTTTCTGTGTGTCAGCGGCCCGACGGGGGTTTGTCAGCGTATCCGCTATCGATCACTCGCTGCAACAACGAAACCCGAACATTTTGCCACAGAGCAGAAAAAGCGCGTGAATTCTCACAGCTAGTTTTCCAATGCGTGAAGTGGCACGATAGAGCCCGATGTGTCGCTCCACGTGGGGCAGAAATTCGTGCATTCAAATGCTGGATTCCAGTGACACTCTTGCCATGGTTCGTACTGCTGGGCCGTTCTCATACACTTAGAACCATCTGCCGCCGTATCCTCCTGCAGCAAATCCCTTCTGTTCCACACCAAACTCATCAAATATGGCAGCTGAACCACTCCTGCAGGCAGCCTTCCCGTTCCGTTCCATTCCAGCGCCTAGGACCATCTGCCACCTTATCGTCCCTGGAGCACATCCCGTCCGTTCCACGCCAGGCTCCTCAAGTAAGGCAGCTGAACCATCCCCTCTGGCAGCCGGTGGATCCTGAAGCACCCATCCACCGTTACCCTCTCCAGCCCCTGTAACATTGTTACACTTGATGGCAGCTCGGCCAGCATGTAACACTCCTCCATGTGCAAAACACGTAGCTTGAAGACGACAGAGGTTGAAGGGTTGACATTGCCACTACCCTCGCTTAACAAAGCATCAGTAGCTTTAGCATGAGGGCAGGAATCGGTGCTGGTGGGGACGGTGGGCAGGGCGACAAGGCTGTAGCAGCGAATCAGAGCGAGCCGTTCCAATTCGGGCAGGCAAAAAAGAGAGGCGGGCAGGTGGGTGAGCGCGGTGCAGTCTGTGAGTTGGAGACAAGTGAGGGAGGAGAGGAGGTGGAGTGAGGGAGGGAGGGAGGCGAGGCAGGGCAAGTTGGAGAGAGAGAGGAGGCAGAGGTGGGGGATGGAGGGGAGGGAGGAGGGCAGATGCAGCAGGTGGTGGCACGAGTGCAAGTGCAGGAGCCGGAGGTGGCTTGGGGCGAGTGGCGAGAGAAACAGGTCGTCAGGAATGCACGGAGCGAGGACAGCTTTGCGGTGGCTGCTGGTGCCAGCTGCAATGACATTCCACGGTGAATTATCGTCGTTTGCTGCACGGGCGCGCTCCCTGCCAGTGTGGTCAGCCACATAACCAGGCACCGCATGGGAGATGGATCGAGGGAGGGAGGAGGCGAGGCCGCGGAGTGCGTGGTGGGAGAGCTGCCCCACTTGGAGCGCCAGCTGCTCCACCTGCTGTGCCCACCCCTGCTCACCACTTGATACGGCAGCAACCATGCTTGGTGCGTGCTGAGCACTCAGCAGGGGCCAGTCCACCCCAACATCACCGCCAGCAGCACCGTCTGAAGCGTCCCCTGAAGGGTCCCCTGAAGGGTCGTCTGAAGGGTCGTCTGAAGGGTCGTGTGCACCGCTCAAAACCAGGCTGCTCGTTCCTCCCACGCCGGTAACCTTGGTGCTGCTGCTCGTGCCCGTTGGACTGGTAACCGTGCATCTGTAACTGCCGTGAAGCACGAGACTCTCAAGGCCTGGCACCACACCTCTAACCACGTCAAAGCAGCTTGCTGTGTCCGCTTCAGCCGGCGAGGGCGTCAGAAGGAGGGGGAGGTGGAGGGATTGTAAGGTGGAGGTGAGGGGAGGGAGAGAGAGGGAGGCAGGCAGGTGGGCGAGTGCAGGGAGATCTTCCAGAAGAAGGGTTTCAAGCGTGGGCAGCTGCCCGATGTCCTCAGGCAGGGTGGAAAGGTTTCCAAGGTTGCTGATGTGGAGGTAGTGGAGACTGCCCAGACCTAAAAATGAATGGGGGAGCTTGGACAGGTTGCCACAGGCCTGCAGAACGAGTTTGCGTAGTTTTGGAAGCTGCCCGAAGGGTTCGGGAAGGGAAGAAATTGATGGTAAGGAGATGATCCTAAGAGACTCCAGAGATGGAAAATGCTGGATTCCGTTTAGACTATCATCTGTCATGCCACGAGCCAACGAATGACGACACTCCTGCTGCTCCTGGTCCTGCTCCTGCTGCTGCTGCTGCTGCTGCTGCTGCTGCTGGCCTTCACAGTCTCTTCCCCACCCCCTTCCCCCTGACGGCCTGCCAGCAGGCGCTGCTGGCACGAGTACTCCGCGACCAAGAAACACAGACTCCAGCGAAGTGACGCCCGGGAGTGAGACTAAAACGAGCGATTGGAGCGAGGGGAGGAGGGCAATCCCGTGAGGGAGGGCAGACAGGGAGGGGCAGTGGCGGATGGAGAGATGGCGGAGAGAGGAGAGCGAGGAGAGGGATGCGGGCAGATCAGAGAGGCTGGAGCAATAATCCAGGTGCAACTGGTGCAGGCGAATCTGGTGCAGGTTTGACTGAGCGCCTAGAAACTCTGGCAGTGATGCCAATAGGGGTAAGGCTGAAAGGGTGAGGGAGGAGAGGTTGGGGGAGGAGGAGAAGAATGAGGAGGGAAGGGTTTCCAGTTTCTCGCAGTCGCTGATGGTCAGCTCGCGAAGGTTTTCAAGCTGCCCGGGGGAGTGAGGGAAGGCGGTGAGGAGGTGGAGGGAGGAGAGGGTGAGGATGCGGAGGGAGGGGGGTTGGAGGAGGGCGGGAGGCAGGGAGTGGACGAACATGCCTTGGAGGGAGAGGCGAGCAAGAGACGCGAGGCAACGGAAGGAGATGAGGCAAGCAGAGGGCCAGTGGCACCAGGAGAAGGAGATTTCGAGGGTTTGGAGGTTTGAGAGGTAAAAGAAGGATTCTGGAAGGGTGAAGTCTGCGGAGTAGCAGGAAAGCTTTAGGCAGCGGAGGGATTGCAGCTGCCCGAAATCCTCGGGCAGGCAGATGAGCGAATCACAGTTTTGTATATTCAGGTGGGAGAGGTTTGGGAGGGTGCAGAGGGGATCGGGCAGTTCTTGCAGGCGACAGCACTCGAGCAGCTCTAACCGGGACAGAAAAAAATAATCTCCAATTGATTCCGGAAGAGCCTCCAAGGCGGTGCACTGCACGGTCAGCTCGCAGAGTTTCTTCAGCTGCCCGAGAGTGTCTGGTAGGGACTGCAGATTGCGGGAGCGAAGCTCGAGGCTTTGGAGCAGCGTGAGAGAGGCGAAGAGGCTGGAAGGGAGAGAGGAGAAGTCGAAATCGAGGTGGAGGTGCGTAAGGCTCGTCAGCGTTGCGATGGATGGGGGGAGCGTCACGGAGGAGCTTTTAGACTTTAAAGTGAGATGCGTCAATCGCGTACAGCTGGAGAAAAGGCGGTGAAACGCGGCTTCGGTGCTGCGAGCTGATGCAGGAGTCGCCGAGTGAGGCGATTCTGGATTGGTACAGCTCCGCCCTTCGAAGACCAAATGCAGGCGACACAGACGCTGACTCAGCGCTGACGTGGCAAGGCTGTGAATCAGACGGTCGTCGGCAGGATAGACGCTTCCAGCCAGCAGGTCTAACTCGGAGAGCGACGGGAATCGCGAAAGCGCGTGGAGGATGAGACGAGACGGAATACCGCTGTTGCTTTTAACGCGTACACGGCTCTGAGCGGAGCGAGCGAGGCAGTACCATCGCCGGCACACGAGGCCATGGCTGAAATAGTCGCCATGCGACGCGAGGGCGCGGAAAATGCGGAGGAGGAGATCGTCTGTGAGGAGGTGAATAGTTGGCAAGTCGCTGGTCATTTCAGAGCGGACGCGTCGTACTGGAAAAATAAAAAATAAAAATAAAAAAAAATCGGTGGTCTGGACTGGATTTGGGTTGAAAGGTTCGGTGACGAAGTCGTCTGCTATGATGCTGATGCGGCTTGGAGTCTAAGCCCATTCCAGATTCTAAATACTTCATGCTTGATGTGTTAGGACGCACTACATTGCGTTCGTTTCGGAGGATCGTGGCAAAACAAATAGATTCTCATGGTTTTTTGCAGATTGCAGAAATTGCCTTTCAAGTTTATTAATCTTGAAACCTGTAAGGAATTTTCCATTCCTTACCGAGCGGTACTGCTACCGCGTATGCTCGAACACACCCAAAACCTCGGGACTATTCCGGACCTTTTCTGACAGAACCGCCTCGGCCTCTCCAGACCTGCTAGTTCGACCTTCGGGAGTTCTCCGGGCCTCGCTTCGTCACTTAGAGACCCTTCGATCTCTTTCCCGAACCTTACCATCGCATGGTTAAACTAGCTCTGGTGTTCCTATATCTTGGCTTGCCATTCCTTGTATCGTCATTCAGTGAGTGAACATTTTGTTATTCATTTCCGCGCTAGTCTGCTTGTTCATTCATAACAAAACCCCCCAATTGGTAACCCAGTTCCCGAGAGAGAGAGAGAGAGAGAGAGAGAGAGAGAGAGAGAGAGAGAGAGAGAGAGAGAGAGAGAGAGAGAGAGAGAGAGAGAGAGAAAGAGAGAGAGAGAGAGAGAGAGAGAGAGAGAGAGAGAGAGAGAGAGAGAGAGAGAGAGAGAGAATGTAAGGAATTAACATTCCTTACTGCGCTGAACTACAGCGCGTACACCCGAAGACCTCTAACTCGCAGGTTCGGCCATTATTGTCGGCCCAAACCTCCCGGAGTCGCTTTCCGACACCCTCGACACCCAACCAAACCATTCACGGCCCGAGGTCCTCGCCCTAGCTCGTCCTAGCACGTCCGTGCCCTATTTTAGCCAGTTCGCTCGTCACTTGTAGACACACATTAGTTTCCGAGGTTCTATTCCCATTATTGAGTGGCTGTTCCATTCCCACTCATAACATCTGGTATTCAGAGCACTTTCTTAGGCTAGTCGCTTCCGCCTGCCCGATATTTTTTTCGGGTAGGGGAAAGGAGGGATGGCTGGAGGGCCTGAGGCTGTACAGCGGTTGTCCAGGAGCTAGATATGAAAGGAGGGATGGCTGGAGGGCCTGAGGCTGTACAGCGGTTGTCCAGGAGCTAGATATGATTAGCTCATACAACTACGATAGCGTGTGCGCCTCTACGCCACTCGATCCCTTCCTTTGGACGGTCTGGATTGATCGTGCCCCGCCCTCCCCACGGGAACGGACAGCTGTGTCTGTCGCGAGTTTTGGCCACGTAATTTTAGTGGCGTTCATTTCATTTGTTTGGAGCGGCAACTGGCGTCGTCGTTACACGGCGAAGGATTTTTCAAGACGTCTCGCGCGGACTTCGTCAGCGGCTCGCGAAAATTGCGAGGCTCGCCTCGTGGGAAAACGACAGCTGTGGACCTCGCCAGGCGCACGAGGAATGTGCGTCAGGAATTATCCTGACGAGGAGAGACGACATGTGCCAGCTACCCGAATTATGCGGGAGTGGTGTGTTGTCCCGTCCGGACTGGAGCGGATTGCTGCCAGGTGGGCGCGTCATCATAATTTCTGGCAGGAGCGACGCAGCGTGGGACGGCGTGTGCCGTTAACTTCCGAAAAGTTTGGAGTCGGCCACCTTCGTGCCAACTGTTTCTGTAGTATCGGCAGCAGCTGTTCCTGGCACCCGATAAAATCGGCACCGACAATTGCGGATGTCGTGGACGATCTTCACGCCAAGCCGATTTCCCAGAAAACGACAGTGGCGCCTGCGTTTTTCTAGGGAAACAGCCTTGGAGACAGGCCAGCGCCCCAGGAAACAACGTCTCTGGTGCATCGTTTAGTGCCCGCGATTTTCGGGGGTTTCTACCAGTAAAACGTACGGAGATGCGACAGACCGGGTTGGACGAGAGGGGAACTTCGACACTTCATGAAGAGCAGGGCAGCGTAGCGGAAATCTCAAGCTGAGTGCCCCCGTGTTGGGCTAAGCGGCGGTAGCAGAATGGCCACCTACCGGCCGAGACTTTCCAACGGCTCACATCTTCCACACCAGGTTCCAAGTTCGGGTTTAATACTACTCTGGCGGTCCTGGACGAATAACGTGGACAGAGCTGCGGTTAACCTGTGCCGATTAAAATACGGGAGTACCGTGGGATCGACAGTATGAAAAAAGGAGTTTGTGCGCTCGGCGCACGTGCGTTTCTGGTATGACTGACAAAAGCGGGGAGTTGGGTGAACGACGACCTGCCGAGATTGTCGGGGCAGCTGCGACAACACTGTTCCAGCTGGATTTCTATACTGTTTCCGAAGTTTTTGGAGTGCGGCTGGGCTTTCGGGAGTCATCCCTGGTTAATGGGGCTACTTGCCAAGGCACGAAAGCCTAGGACCTGTTTTGGTGATATGGCGGGCGCAATGACGGGTGAAAGTCGGCGCGCTGCTCAACGCCCGGTGCCAGACGGGGAATTCTTCGAGAACCAGCGGCGCAGCTATTAAGCACCAGCAGTTTGGGAGTACCTGCGTAGCGATGAAGCGGAGTTGTGGGAGAAGCTAAGTTCAAGGGCATGTCGTGCAGTCTACCCGACGAACTGGGTCGCACTTCATGTTCACAGCTGGGCATCGTGTCTCCGACGTTTACGGGTTTTTCGAAGCAGTGTTGAAGCTGGTTTCAGGGCAGCGGTCCCTGGGTTTCTGATAAAACCGCGTGGAGCGGCTCTGTGTTGACCGCTGATGTGGTACTCGATATCTTCCGGGGTACGAACGACATCGCCCGACATTCTCGGACTGCTTTGCTTTCATAGAGGGAAACGAGAGTGGCGGCTGTTTTGGCCCTTGCCGAAAATTTTGGTGTGTACGGACAACAAAAGCTGATGCAGCTAGCGTCATTTGACCTTCGGGTCGGCTTGAGGTATTCACTGGAGTGTTCTAATACAGGTTACCTTCCTTCGCCATCGTCGTCAACCTCTCGCCAACACCCGCTACCACCTCCATCCTCAATTCGCTTCTTTTCGCTCGCCTATGTAAACAAGACCGCCCGCGCCATTCGCCATCCGCCGAAGCAGTATCCAATCAAGAAGATTTGGAAGCAGGACTGTTAAAGATGTGTTGGGGCCAGCTTGCCAACAGTGTTTTGACTGTGTGCGGAAAATTTTCAGCTCGTTGGAGTCTTCTGGAGTAGTTGTCGCTGATTTTCCGGACCTCAGAAGCGGTTGCCCTGCAACAGAATTTTCCTTTGGAGCAGTTTGGACGTTCTACCGGTTGGAGTTTTTCAAGCATCCTCGCAGCAGAGTTGCTGGATTTTTTAAGCCGCAGTGTGGGTTTCCTTTGACTACCCTGGAGTTTTATTTGGCCCGTTGGGAGCTGTTTCTTCTTGGAGGGGGGGAGAAGTGCAGCTGTGCTGCAAAATTTTGATGACCCCTCCGGCGTGTTCTATTATCCATCTCCGCCCGACATGCGTTTCAGTTACGCTTCCTCGTCGAAGTTCGTCTCTTCGTTGATGGAGTTCGCTGACTTCCACAGCCACGAACACGCGCGTGTGCTTGTATGTGTCAGGAACGACCTCGCGACTTGATGAACGGTCCCTTCCAGTTCGACAAACCTCGGCCACGTCATCCCTCATGTCATCATTTCATCAGCCACGCGCCATCACCAAAAGCCAGATTGACCGTTTACAATTTCAAAAGGAGTTTTCGCCAGTACCCATTCGGTCAGCTCAAGAATTCGACAATCTTCGACGACCAAGATTACAAACGATCGTTTCGACGTTTTTTGGCCATCGATCACATTTCGACCTGAAGACATTGTCAGTGTGAGAGTACGACCCCGTTACACCACTTGGCCTTTTTTCTACTTCCTTCCTATTTTCATTTCTGTTTTATCTCATCTCATTTGGTTTCCTATTCTCCCTTTTCCATTCACCTTTGGTTTATCCTACTATTATAATTATATCACCGACCAGGCTTGGGATGTACTGGTGCGCTATATCTAGCGTAATCCTGCCGTAATCCCTTAAAGCCAATAGCCTTGCGTGGCTATACGCAGGGTGATTCTATCTTCTAGAAGGGTCTATTCCCTTAGGATAAGATAAACCTGGTTACCTGATGTACTCTGGAAGCATAAAAGCGCCTTGTACTGATCGATAGTGCAATCTTTCCTCGAGACATTCGATCCTGTAACAGTCAGGACGTCGTAATCATTACGCTCGTCATTGTGCTGAAGACCTACAGTCACATCGGGGATTACTTTTCATGATTCGAACTTCGATATACGGAAGGCTTTATCTAGAAGGTGGGAGAGTGTAAGGAATTAACATTCCTTACTGCGTTGAACTACAGCGCGTACACCCGATGACCTCGAACTCGCAGGTTCGGCCATTATTGTCAGCCCAACCTCCCCGAGTCGTGTTCCGACACCCTCGACACCCAACCAAACCATTCACGGCCCGAGGTCCTCGCCCTAGCTCGTCCTAGCACGTCCGTGCCCTATTTTAGCCAGTTCGTTCGTCACTTGTAGACACACATTAGTTTGAGATGGTCCTATTCCCATTATTGAGTGGCTGTTCCAATCCCACTCATAACAAAAAACGAAAGTTGCGCAACAAAACGACGGGAAACAGTTTATAATCTTGCGCCACCCCCAGCTGATTATGCCCCTGCCCCCGCCACACCAGGCGTTTGAGCGGAAAGAAACTTGAACTCTCCCCCATACATTTTGGGACTTTTCGGAGTGCAAACCCAGCCCAGCGCCACTACGCCCTAGGCAGCGAAAGCACCATGCACAGCACACGCCAGTTTTTATTAGGGCGCGTTACATATCGTATCATGTAAGGAATAAGTAATTCCTTAATGAGGCTTGCTACAGGGCGTACGAGTCGAACAGTCCCGAACCAGCGATAGGGTTCTAGACCTTTCAGTTCGAGCCTCCTGGGCCTTTCCGGACCTCGCTTCGACACATCGAGGCCCTTCGACACTTTTCCCGAACCTTCCAATCCTACGTCCAGGACCACCCTAGGTTTCTATATATTGTGTTGTCTTTCATTTTATTGTCATTCACTCGTTCACAGTTTCGCCATTGCCCTCCGCGCTACTCGGCAGTTCCATTCACAACACTTGGTATTCAAAGCCACTTTCCTCACCCGCTGGGCTTCCGAGGGCAGATTTTTTTTGGGGGGGGAGAAGGTGGATGGCGCTACAGAAGGCACGGCGGTTGTCCTGAAGCATGATATGATATGCTTCAACAACTACGTTTGCGTGGGCTTCTAAAGACCGTCGATCCGACCCCAAGGGACGAGCAAGATTTTCTCGGCCATCCCCTCGAGGGCGGTTGTGTCCGTCCTGTAATGGCGAAGATTTTGAAGAGTGTTTCCGGTATGCTGTTCATTTCGCATATCGTT